GATAACTGACAGAACTTGGTACCAAAACCAGTCCACCGTCCTGTCCCCAAGCCTGAAAACTGCAACCCCAGAGCATGGGCAGAAAATAGCAGAGTAGATATTACATGTAGGTGCCCCCATGCTAGGTGCTTTGTATGGAGAGCCCTGTTCACAATCTTTGAACTCTCTCATCGCAAGCCAGACAGATGTTGTGGCTGTATCCGCCTGTCAGGAGTTGCATGGGGACCCAATCTGTATGTGGAAGCAGAGGAGCCGGTGATGCCACATTTTTGAAATATCAGGAAACTAATACACCCCTCCTCCTTAGATATCATCTGCGCTTATACACCATCTTCGCAAGTCTCCAGTCCCAAAATGTGGCCCCCACCCTGGGACGGAAGCAATCAAAGTATAGATCTTCCCCATGTCCTAAATCTGCAGTGTTCTTAAGGACACCAGGCATCTATATCCTCCAAAAACTCCAGAGGTGAGCTTTACGCTTCTCTTGTGACAAAATTCCCAAATCTTAGGGTAGCTTGATAGAACTAGACTATTTTGAGATAGCACCAATGTCTCCTGTTAGTAGTAGGAGCCACACAATGACTGATAATACATAGATAAATGTCCCCTTCTGTATCTTACATTTTTCTAAGAGAGTATTATTCACAGTCATGCTTGCCATGTATAGATTGTCTTATTTCCCTTTAGAAAAGTCTCTCAAATCCCTGGCTCCTGCGGGAGGGAGTTCCAGTTTTACCTACACTGTGGAAAGTTATAAGTTTAATGTAAATAAAGCATTCTGCAATGGAGACAAGACTGGGGTTCCTCCTTTGGGAAGGGATGGGCGACCTGGGGACTCCAAAGGCTATGGGCTTGTTTTCTAATAGCAGCAGCTGCAGAGAAACTCCAGGATGGGGAACATCCTTGAAAGCTCACTCTGGGATCAGAGAGAGAAAGGTTGGCAGACCTGCCACCCAGAGCCCCCTCCTTCTCCTCCCTGCATCGCCTCACCCCCTTCAGGACAAGATCTTGGGGTCCTTCAGGCGGCTTTCCACCCTCTCCTCTCAAGGAAGGCAGCTCCGTTCCCTTGAACCCTGGCAAGCCCAGTGCAGCCAGCTCAGCCCTCTGGCTCTCCCCTTTTCTCCACGGAGGAGCCCCAGGCATGGCCCCTGCCCAGAGAGGCTTCCCCTGAGGCTCTGGGCTGGAGACCTGAGCTGATCTGGAGGAGGATCTGCCCGGGGGAAAGGCCGGCCTGGCAGGGGCTCCTCCACTGGAAGGGGCATTCTGGGCATGCCCTCCCCCCCAGACCCCTCCCTCCTTCCCCAAAGAGGATGCCAAGGAAGAGCAGAGGTGCAGACCCCCTGGAAACTGGCCCCCTCCCAGGCTTGGCAGAGAGGAATGGGGGGGCAGGACCCTCTGCTCCCAGACTCGGGGGTCTCCCCCTGCAGGCCCCGGGACCCCCTTCTCCCATGGGCACCCCAAGGGGGGAGAGAGAGGAGACTCACCGGATTCTTCCCAGGAGGGAAACCGAGGCAGCGCGGGGAGGAGACAAGAGACAAAAGACGGGACTGGGCACGGAGGGAGGGGATTCGGCTCTGGAGGACCCGCCCCGCCTCTCCACTTCCTGTCCTCTCTAGGACTCCGGCTCTGTTCCACTTAACCCTTCGCAAGCTGAGCACAGCCCCCTGGCTGGCTGGCTGTCCTCCTTCCCTCCCAGAATCCGGGGGTCCAGGGCATGTGCAGAGTTCTCTGTGATTCTCGGCTCAGAGGCCCTCAAGACAGCAGCTTAGTGCCCTGCCCCCAGGTGGGCGGGGGGTAAATAAAATAATAATAATGCTTCACCTGCTCACTAGCAGAGTGAAAGTCTGTTGCAATATTAGGAGGGGGTACCTGAGAGAGACACGGGTCCCTTGGGAGCAAAAGCCTCCGCTGGTAAAGCAGGAGACTCTCGATTTGAGGGTCCTGGGTTCAAGCCCCACTTTAGGCATCGCAAAGGGTTGGACTGGAGGACCCTCGACCCCCCTGTGAATCTGTGAAATGCAAATAAATAAATCAGTACACTCCCCAGTGGAGAACTCGCTCCAGACTTAGAAAGTGACCTTCAGTGGGGACAAAGGTCGGGTTCTGCATTCAGGCAGGAAGACTCAGAGGCGCAAAGGTCAGATGGGGCGCCCCCCCCCGCTGCTCTCCCTCCCGCCCCCGCCCCAAATTCTGGAGGAGGCAGCTTGTTTCCTGCTGTTTCCGATTCAACTTCAGAATCTTAGAATTCAGAGAAGCGTAGAATTTTGGAGCTGGAAGGGACCCCTGAGGGTCATCTAGTCCAGGCGGGGGAAGGGGGGGCGGCATGGCCAGGATCCGGGAGGGCGCGGGGAGGAGGGGAATGTGGCCCGGGATAGTCCCTCTGCTTTCCTGGAAGCGTCGTCCTGAAGAGAGTGCCGCTGCCCCCCCCCGTGGGCCTCTTGGCTTGGGGGGAGCCTGGTCCCCTTTGGGCTCTGCTTTGTCCCCAGCGATGCCCAAGGGGATCCTCCATGGACAGAGCCAGTCTACCTTGGAGCGGGGGAGAAGGAGAAGGGGGGGATGCTCTTCCGCTCCTGCTTGCGGAGTTCCCGGGGGGGGGGGCGCCTGGTCGGCTGCTGCTGCCAGGAGGCTGGCCTAGGTTGGCCCTGGTCCTGATCCAGCAGGGCTCTTCTTATGGAGCCTCCAGGCCCACAGGCACTCTACCCAGGCGTCTCTGTTCTGTGGGGCGTTGGGCTGCTGTGAGGACAGGAGGCTGGGCTAGGTGGGAGGGGTCCCCTTGGTCCGGACCCAGATTCTGCTGCTGCTGCTTTGGGGCTTTCCTGAGGCCCTTCCGCTCCTAGAATCACACCCAGGGGCCATCTAGTCCACCCCCTTCTTCCTCCTCCTCACAGGAGCGTCATTTTCCTCCGGTGGCCAAGCTGGGCTGCTGGTTCCTGGAGGAGGCTGGGGGCAGAGGCTCAGTCATGCCCAGTGCCCTCAAGCAGCGCCTCACCATTTTGTTCCTGCCCCCACCCAGGAGACGCCTGGAAGAATCTGCCCTGGAGTCCGAGTTGCCCCTGGATGTTGAGGCTGGCCTGGTCTTCCAGGTCCTGGGTCTGGAGACCCGCCCTTAAAATAAAAACCAGGCCCCCTTCCCATCCCTGCTTCTCATTCACCTTGAAGCACCTCTAAATTCGGCCACACTGTGATATACCCATTTCACAGGCGCCACAACTGAGGCTGGCAAACTGCACCCATTTCGCTGTGGGGCTGATGCGTCATTTCCCAACCTGGGCATGAGTTAATTATAATGCCCACACACACACACTTGATTTTTCTCCTTTCCAGCACTCCTGCGTTAAGAAGTTAAACGGAATTAAATGATTCTCTGGATCTTCAGTGTCAGCAAACCTTCCCTGATCTCTGTTTGTAAACCACCAGTGTCAGAATTGCTTTCTTTGGAGGTTTTCCAAACGGAGGCTGGAAAGCCAAATGTCAGGGATTGGGACTAGATGTCCGTTGGGGTCCAACCTCACAGTTGTTTACTATTATTATTAGTTTCTTTTTAAAAGATCAGTGTTGAACAAACGCCATCTCCCCAGTATGACTCCCCTTTATCACAAACACAGCCCAACAAGACAATGACAAAAACCCACCTACAGCATACAAATCAATGTGGCTAACCTGATCCAAAACACCCACCCACCCCACTCACCCAAAGACCACCACAGCCAACCACAAATGAACAACCACACCCTAGGCCAACCCCAACCTCTCTCATCACCAAAGGGACACAGGTGAACAGCAGAGAACCCGCACAAGCAATGCTGACACAAAACCCCACATATATTAAGTAAAATAGAAACATTGTCACCCGATGATCTGCCCTGGTGGCCCTGGCTTCCTCCTTGGAGGTCCCTTTAGAAGGAGAAGGGGTCCCAGGTCTCCATGGGGAAAATCGCCCTTTGGGGCCAATGCTTTAGCCTTTCAGGCTCCAGCCTCCTTCTTGATGGTGGGATTACATGCAGACGTTCCCAGGTTTACTAAGGATCCCTTGAAAAAGATGGGCTCTGCTTCGGCATGTTGTGCCCTCCCCCCGCCCCAACCATCTGTAAACTGAACTGTAAACACTAAGAAAAAATGTATTGCTGATTCTACCAATAATTATATTCAATCTCATTATAAATCACTTTCAATTTTTTTTAAAAAAATCTTGTCATGTATATGTAGTAGAAATTCAAAAAGAGGTTCCCAGACTGGAGGTTATCCACACAGAAACCCCCACCAAAAAAGGAGGGAGTCTCCAGGTGGAAAGATAGGCCTTTATTGAAATACAAATGTTCCTGCAAAGAACCACATACGTATAGAACACATACATTTACATTTGCACAGTACATATACACAATACGTTATTTTCCTAACATAAAGCATACCTACATTACTCTATAATATGCCTACCTATACTATACATACCAACACATCTACCCCACATGAACACCCACAAACTGACTTGACTTCCAGCCGTTCTTGTTACACTACTTTATTTTTCCAATTGCCTTAAACACATTTCATTATTTCTTTAATCTCTTCTTCTATCTTAACTTTACTCTCCTTTCACTCTAATCATGTTCTGGATTCACTCAATATCTGTCAAAAGTTTGACTTTTTCCACATAGCTTTTGATGTATTCCTTAAAGATAGCCCACTCCTTATTCACTTTTTCAACTTGTTGTAAATATTTTCCCAGAACCCCACAATCTCTTTGCATTCCCACCCCATGTGTAGAAAGGTTCCCGCCCCGTTGTTGTATCTCCAACAAACATCACTACAGTTTTTATACATTTTTGCCAGTCTAACCAGGGTCAAGTACCATCTATATTGCATTTTCGTTACATTCTCTCTTAAATTGTAGCATGCCGTAAATTTACCGTAATATCCCTGTCTCACAGTAGTTGGCTCATCATATTTTCCCCTGAATCCTGGGCCTACTTTACCATCGCTGTCTTCACTTGCTCCTCCTTTACCTCCCATTCTAGGAGCAAATCATATAGTTTGGAAATATGTTTACTTTTAGATTGGAGTAAGTACTCATCCAATCTTGAAATTTCTTTCTCAAATCCTTTTTCTTCCTCTTTTGTCATCTCTGATTAATTTGAAAGAACTGCAGCCAATTGTTCAAATATTTCTTAACTTCCTTATATCCTTTCAATTTACGTTTATTATTTTCCTCTTCCAGTAATCCTTATATGTTGCCCAGTTGTTATTCATATTCTTTCTCTTTACAGTCATGATTTCTAAGGTGAGGCCCACCAAGGTGTTTTGGGTTCTAGAATCCCTGTATATTTCATCCATATTTTATACAATGATTTAATTATAAAACCCATGTGGACTCTCTCCTTTCCATCTATTAGGTATGCATGCCATCCAAATTGAGTTCCTACTTCCTCCAGATCTAACACATCAGTGTCCTTTAACTTAATCCACTCCCTTAAGCAGGTCAGACCTGCTGCAGCATGATATAATTCCAGGTCAGGTAGGTCAAATCCGCCTCTCTTTCTCCGATCAATAAGTAATTTATATTTTATTGTAGGTGTTTTTTGTATGGAATGGCAAATTGCACATCATTCCTATTCACCAATCAAAGGATCACAGCAATCTTTTTTTTTACTTCACTTTTTTTATTGGTTTTCACAAAATTATAAACAAACACATAAAACAAACAAACATAAATCATAACCGTATTAAAAATTACACTTATTAACATTGTTAAGTGCCTTCCTCGCTTCCCCTTGGTTGAATTTCAATGCATATCCTTTTAAGGGTTTTCCAAATCACAGTTCTTATAAAGTTTAACTTGAACATTAACATCCTTAGATCTTTTCATTTTGAAATTACACCTATTAATTCATCACTTAACTTATATAAGATCCTAAGTCGATTAAGTACCTGCAAGCTGATTCCAATTCATCTAACTTGACATATTTAACTAAATAATCATTAAATTTAGTCCATTCTTCCTGATATTCCTCCTCCTTCTGGTCGCAGACTCTTCTGGTTAGGTTGGTTAGCTCCGAAAAACCCATCATCTTCAAGGATCACAGCAATCTTAATAGTTGCAGCCAAATGTCATCATCCTGAACTAACCAAAATCATTTGGCTCTTCAGATAAGCCCTCATCATATCATGTGATGACATATAACAATTTTTTTGTCTTTCTTTTTAAGACTTTGGCTAATATTCCTATTCACTAAATGTCTTCCAAAGTCCTCTTTCATCCATCTACAAAACAGTTCAAGATGAATCACAATTGGTCTGGATGAGATTCCTGAGATTCCTGACTTGCAGGGGGCAGGACCAGATGACACCCAGGCTCTCTTCCTGTGTGGGATGTGAAACTTATAGCAGTCAAGTACAACATTTCTACAGTGGACATGTTTGGGAATGTTTTCTACTACTCAGGAGAAAACTTCCTGTTTCCTCCTGAGCTGGGACAGACTTCCACTACATGTGACTTGAAGTAGGTGTGGCCTATTCTGGGTAGAGGAGCACATGTCCCCCACGTTCTGATCTTTTTCTCCATTTTGTCTTTCTATATGTTAGGAGAAGTGACAGCTCAGTTGCAGTCACTTGGGACTAACACCCTTATGGGATAGTTCATATAGTTAGACACTTTTGTAAACCAAGTCTGCCTTCAGGGATGCATCTGTGAACTGAATGAGTAAACTACTTTTATATTGACTTTAACAAGATTGTGTCGTGTCTTTTTATGAGGGAGTAGAAGGGATCTTACCAGAAATCCTATATTCAAAGAGGCTTAACAAGCCTGCAACAAGCTAACCACCGTGCTAATTTAAAAAGTTTGAAACTTGGACCAAAGTGTTGCCACAGGAACTAGGGAGCTAAAGATGCTTTTCTGGCAGTGGAACAAACTGTCACAGATAAAATCCCGAGGGCGGAACCCGAAAATACTGGAAAACACTGGTTCCTTCCAGAAGGCTTTGTCCTTTTCTGCTGAGGCAACTGGATTTATTATGATTTGTGTTTTGTTATCTCAAGCTCACACCGAGCCAGAAAGATAAATCTGTGAGCTCAGTGGGCTGGTTTCTCTTTCTTACTTTCATTTTCTAACTTTCACATCTGCTAAGTCCCCTGAAGCTTTGTTCTGTAACGAAGCTGAAAAACCTTTAGTAGAAAGTTCTTCTTTTGCCAATGAACTTTGCCTCTGCCTGATTTATGGAGAACTGGATGCATCCACTCCAAACAAACTTCTGCAGCTCTGCTCTCCATCCAGACATGGAGCACCTTGACATTGAAGACCAAGACGGGTTCCAGAAAAAGGGACTGAGGTGAATGTGTGGGTCATAAGCTGGGAGTCGTTGGAAAGGAGTCTCTGGGAGTGGCAGAAGGTTCTGTTGAGGAGGTAAGGGAAGAACAGGAGGAGAGAGAAAGAGCTCCATGGAAAGACAAGGCTGCGTTGGGATGAGCTGGTGTGGGAATTATTGGCAGAGAAAAAGGTACATCCAGCAAAAGGGGATGCAGTGCAACTCCTGAAACTGTTCATAATACAAGCTATGATCTCGTATGAGGAAAGGGATTTAATATGCATTCTTCCCCACCTCCAGTGGATTAGGAAAGAAGATTAGTAAAAGAAGAGGAAGCAGGATTGGATGAACATTAAGAAGGACAATAATTTTGGACTGTGACTTGACTGAGATTTGTTGGAACAGCTTTAATAAAGCTTTATAGAAACTGGACCTAGAAACTGGAGAAATACTAATTTGGATTATTAGACAATCATAATAAGAGTCATATTGCATTGTCTCAGTGGTTAAGATTTGAAGATTGGGCTGGGGGGGCAGAATGTAGGGAAAGTGCCATCGTGCTAAAGGGGAGGGAAAAGGCTGGATACTAAATACAGCTGGGTTTATCCAGGAGTGCATATTCTGAGTAATTATTGCTACAGTGGAACGATCACTCAGGGTGGGAGACGGGGAGAAGGGGGCACCCAGGGGAGCGCTGGGGGAGCCTGCCTTTCTATGTGTTGACAAATGATTTGATAAAAATGTGATAAAGGGTATTTTTAGTTATTTTCCCATGCCCTTTCTCTTTTCTATACAAATGTGTTTTGTAAGGGTTGTTCAATAATGTTTGCGTTATTATTTTTCTTTTTTGGTTTTCCCTCTGTATGAATTCTGTGATGGGAAGTAAGGTGCATCCTCTTAGTGAAGCTTTTTCCACATTCCAAGCACTGATATGGTTTCTCGCATGTATGGACTCTTTGATGGGAAGTCAGATGTGCACTTTGACTAAAGCGCTTTCCACATTCCAAGCACTGATATGGTTTCTCCCCTGTATGGACTCTTTGATGGGAAGTGAGATGTGCACTTTGACGAAAGCTCTTTCCACATTCCAAGCACTGATAGGGCTTCTCCCCTGGGTGAATTCTTTGATGGAAAGTGAGAGTGGAACTGTGACGAAAGCTCTTTCCGCATTCTAAGCATTGATAGGGTTTCTTCTCTGTATGAATTCTTTGATGGGAAGTGAAACTGGAACTGTGACGAAAGCTCTTTCCACACTCAAGGCATTGAAAGGGTTTCTCCCCTGTATGAATTCTTTGATGGAAAGTGAGAGTGGAACTGTGACGAAAGCTCTTTCCACATTCCAAGCACTGATAGGGTTTCCTTCCTGTATGAATTCTTTCGTGCAAAGTGAGATTGTGCCTGATACTGAAGCTCTTCCCACATTTTAAGCATTGATATGGTTTCTCTCCTGTATGAATTCTTTGGTGCAAAGTGAGATTGTGCCTGAGACTGAAGCTCTTCCCACATTTTAAGCATTGATATGGTTTCTCTCCTGTATGAATTCTTTGATGGGAAGTGAGATGGGCCACCTGGCTGAAGCTCTTTCCACATTCAAAGCACTGATATGGTTTCTCCCCCGTATGAAGTTTTTGATGCAAACTAAGACACTGCATATACCCGAAGCTCTTTCCACATTCCAGGCATGGATATGGTTTCTCGCCTGTATGGATTCTTTGATGGGAAGTGAGATCACCTCTCTGACGAAAGCTCTTTCCACATTCCAAGCACTGATATGGTTTCTCGCCTGTATGGACTCTTTGATGGGAAGTGAGATTACCTCTCTGACGAAAGCTCTTTCCACATTCCAAGCACTGATGGGGTTTCTCCCCTGTATGAATTCTGTTATGGGAAGTGAGACCATCCTTCCGACAAAAGCTCTTTCCACACTTTAAGCACTCATAGGGTTTCTTCCCTGTATGAATTATTTGATGGGAAGTGAGATGTGCACTTTGACTAAAGCGCTTTCCACATTCCAAGCACTGATAGGGTTTCTCCCCTGTATGAATTCTTTGATGGCAAGTGAGAATCTCTCTGTGACTGAAGCTCTTCCCACATTTCAAGCACTGATAGGATTTCTCGCCTGTATGAACTCTATGATGGCTAGTTAGATTGGAACTTTGACTGAAGCTCTTTCCGCATTCTAAGCATTGATAGGGTTTCTTCCCTGTATGAATTCTTTGATGGGAAGTGAGACCGGAACTGTGACGAAAGCTCTTTCCACACTCAAGGCATTGAAAAGGTTTCTCCCCTGTATGAATTCTTTGATGGATACTGAGACCATCCTTCCGATTAAAGCTCTTTCCGCATTCTAAGCACTGATAGGGTTTCTCCCCTTTATGAATTCCTTGATGGGAAGTGAGACTGGAACTGTGACGAAAGCTCCTTCCACACTCAAGGCATTGAAAGGGTTTCTCCCCTGTATGAATTCTTTGATGGGAAGTGAGACCATCTTTCCGATTGAAGCTCTTTCCACACTTTAAGCACTCATAGGGTTTCTCCCCTGTATGAATTATTTGATGGGAAGTGAGCTGTTCTTTCCGAATGAAGTTATTTCCACATTCCAAGCACTGATAGGGTTTCTCCCCTGTATGAATTCTTTGATGGCAAGTGAGATTCTGACGGTGACTGAAGCTCTTCCCACATTCTCTGCACTGATACAATTTCTCTCCGCTGTTAGTTCTTTCATGTGAAGAGATTCTATCCCTCCGAACAAAGCTCTTTCCTTGATGTGAGATGGACTGGGGGCTCTGGCAGATGTTCTCTCCGCACTTTGTATATTTATCTGACTTCTCTGCTATGTGAATTCTGTTGTGGTCCCCCTTGGTCTTCCCTTCCAATTCATCACCATCTACAATTAAGAGAAAAGCTAATTAGAGCCTCAGGAAGAACAAAGTTAATGAATGCTTGTGATAGAGGAGGAACTGAAGAGAGTTAGATGTGAGCCCTTACTATAGTTTTCACTGTTGGCTGGTATTAACTGACATATTGCTTGGTTTTTATCTGGGATAGATTTTGTTTGGCTCAATCCTGGAATCCACTCCATCTCCAATTTCTCTTAAAGCTCTGAGGCTGACATTTAAGAAGGCCTGGCCAGTTCAGACAACCTGGTCATTTCTTTAAAAGGCATGACTAGAAGGGAAAAAATTGCAGAGAAAACAGTGGATATCCCTCCATTCAGGGTTCATGGTGGGGATGATAGAATCCCGAATGCTGTTGGTCTCCATCTAAATAGTGAAGGTTCATCACATAGTGCTGTGAGTCAACTGCTATTTCCGTGGAGCGAAGCCGCATAGCTGTTGTCGGAGGAGCGCTGCCTTTTTCCTGGGACAATTTGGACTCTAAAATAAGCACCCGTGAGTAATTAGAATCTTGAACAATTGGACATTAAATAAGGATTAACGAGCAGAAAAGAATTGGATTTTAAAATATTTTTTTCTATTTGGTACGGAGCGGGAAGGTCTAAACAGGAAGTCAGCCTTCCGTTCCTTTGTAAACAGAACAAAGCAAAGACTATCTAAACTAGAGCTAAGGAAATCGTCTTTAAAGGATTGGATTCCATCATTTATAATTGTGCAACCCCCCTTTTTTGACAGAAGAAGGGGGAGGACTATCTTTGGATTGTTCAAAGTGAGTTTAAGCAAAGTAATTTTCCTCCGTCCTGATACTGGAGCAGGGGTGTCAGGACCGACGTTTGAAGTTCATTGACCAGAAACAAGTGGTTTTGACAGATAGTGAAAAGAAGAGAAACAGTGATTCCATCGTCTCTCTTCGCATTTGAAAGGAACAAATTTTGACAAAGTATCTTAAAGGGGGAAATTTTGTTGCGAGAACAAATAGAAGTTTTCCCCCTAGAGGGAGACTGTGAAACTGTAACTAACTCCAGGGAGCCGGCAGCTGTTATAGATTACGATCATGGGAACAGGCATCTGACCTTGCAGAACAATGTATTCAGAAACCTTGTTGTGTGCCCTTTACAAAACAAATGCCCTACTGGAACAATTACATGAAAAAGTGAAATGGATGAAGACTTCGGTCAGAAATTTGGGACAAGCAGTGGGAAACTTTGAACAGGCAGTGGGAAAATATGTGGAGCCCACTCAGGAATCACATCAAGAGTGTGTTTTGACAGATCAGGCCCAACAGGAATATGAGTTTTCAGATTGGACAAATGATCCTGGGAAAAGCCACATTTGGGAGGAAAATGTCTGGTTTGGTCTGGAAATGGGGGGCTGGATGGATCCCCCAATGCTGGGATGTCTGGACTTTTCAAATATGGTAATGAGCCGTGAGATGTTTGGGACTGTGTGGGATCTTAACCTTGGAGGGCTTCTGAAATATGCTATTAAATACCACATGGAATTTAAGGTTGAATATGGAAAAGGGGCTGATATGTCGAGAAGGGCTGAAAATACTGTTAAGCTGGAGTTATCACGAGCAGGAGACAAGGGAAAATATAGCTACGAACATGAAGAAGAGTCGCGGAAGGGGCAAGGAAGAGATTTGAGGGCGTCAGATATAAGGTTGCCAGGTTAATGAGCTAGATTGATGTGATAATGAGGACTGACAAAGCCTGGAAGATCAGACTTATTTGTATTTTTCTTTTTTGTTTTTTCTCTCTCTCTTTTTATTAGAAGTGTTTTATAATAATTGATGAGCATTAGAAAAATGCTGGAATGGAATTACTTGGTTTTAGTAAAAATGTTCAAAGAATTATGAAAGAATGTTATAAGCTGGTATGGACAAGATTTAAGTTTTAAGATTTAAGATTTATCTTATTATAGAAAGGTAAGATTAAGATTGTTTAGGGTAATGCAATGACAGAATTTTTTATAATATGGAAAGGATTTGCTGGGATAATTAATAACTAGGATACAAAGAAAGGGAGGAGGAGGAGGTCTAAGAAAGAAGGTGATGACAGTTGAGGATTTGGAAATAATGAATTTGTTTTTTCCCCTTTTTGTAATTGTTTTTAATTGTTTTAATTGTTTGTGTGGTATTGTTGAATTTTTTCTTTTTTCCTATCTATATGGTGGGAGGGTTTTGTCTTTCTTCTTTTTTTAACTTGCCAATTATTTTTGTATTTTTCTTTGCTTTTATTTCATTTTGTAATATTTTGAAAATCTCAATAAATATTATTTTTTTGAAAAAAGAAAACTCCATGGAGAAAGACAACAGGCATACAGTGGTGCCTCGCAAGACGAAATTAATCCGTTCAACGAGTCTCTTCGTCTAGCGGTTTTTTCGTCTTGCGAAGCAAGACCATTGACGGCTTAGTGGATTAGCGCTATTAGCGGCTTAGCGGCTTTTAGCGGCTCAGCTGATAAGTGGCTTAGCGGCTTAGAAAAAGGGGGGAAAGGGGAAAAAAACCCGCAGGAACTCGCAAGACATTTTCGTTTTGCGAAGCAAGCCCATAGGGAAATTCGTTTTGCGAAGCGCCTCCAAAACGGAAAACCCTTTCGTCTAGCGGGTTTTCCGTCTTGCGAGGCGTTCGTCTTGCGGGGCACCACTGTATAAAAGTTATGACGCTGGAAGATGAGCCCCTCAGGTCGGAAGGCGTCCAACATGCTACTGAGGAAGAGCGGAGGACAAGTACAAGTCGATTCAGAGCTGATGAAGCGGCTGGGCCAAAGCCGAAAGGTCGCTCAGTTGCGGATATGCCTGGAAGCGAAAGGAAAGTCCAATGCTGTAAAGAAAAATATTGCATAGGAACCTGGAATGTAAGAACCGTGAACCTGGGTAAGTTGGATGTGGTCAAAAATGAGATGGCAGGAATAAATATTGACATCCTGGGCATCAATGAACAAAAATGGACAGGAATAGCTGAATTCAGTTCGGATGACCATCATATCTACTACTGTGGGCAAGAAGCCCGTCAAAGAAATGGAGTGGCCCCCATAGTCAACAAAAGAGTGGCGAAAGCTGTACCGAGATGCAATCTCAAAAATTATAGAATGATCTCGATACGAATCTAAGGCAAACCTTTTAACATCACAGTAATCCAGGTTTATGCACCAACCACTGGTGCTGAAGAAAGTGAAATTGACCAATTCTATGATGACTTACAACACCTTATAGAAATGACACCAAAGAAGGATGTTCTTCTCATTATAGGGGATTGGAATGCTAAAGTAGAGACTCAAGAGATAAAAGGAACAACTGGCAAGTTTGTCCTTAGAGTTCCAAACAAAGCAGGGGAAAGGCTGATAGAGTTCTGCCTAGAGAGCAAGCTGGTCATCACAAACACTCTTTTCCAACAACACAAGAGACGACTCTACACATCGACATCACCAGATGAGCAGCATCAAAATCAGATTGATTATATTCTCTGCAGCCAAAGATGGAGAAGCTCTATACAAGTCAGCAAAAACAAGACCTGGAGCTGACTGTGGCTCAGATCATCAGCTTCTTATAGCAAAATTCAAGCTTAAACTGAAGAAAGTAGGAAAAACACTGGGCCGGTAAGATACAATCTAAATCAAATCCCTTATGAATACACAGTGGAAGCGAGGAACAGGTTTAAGGATTTAGATTTGGTGGACAGAGTGCCTGAAGAACTATGGATGGAGGCTCGTAACATTATACAAGAGGCAGCAACTAAAACCATCCCAATGAAAAGGAAATGCAAGAAAGCAAAGTGGCTGTCCAACGAGGCCTTACAAATAGCGGGGGAGAGAAGGCAAGCAAAATGCGTGGGAGATACGTGAAAAATACAGGAAATTGAATGCAGATTTCCAAAAAATAGCAAGGAGAGACAAGAAGGCCTTCTTAAACGAGCAATGCAAAGAAATAGAGGAAAACAATAGAATGGGAAAAACCAGAGGTCTGTTCAAGAAAATTGGAGATATGAAAGGAACATTTCGTACAAAGATTACCATAATAAAAGACAAAAGTGGTAAGGACCTAACAGAAGCAGAAGACATGAAAAAGAGGTGGCAAGAATACACAGAGGAATTATACCAGAAAGATATGGATGCCTCGTACACCCCAGGTAGTGTGGTTGCTGACCTCGACACCCCACTACCCTTGGGGCTTTTTGGGGGGGTGTCTAACCCTGGCACTCACCCCCACTGCTCAAAAGCCCCGGTAACAGTCGTCTTTTAGACGAACGACTCACACCGCCTTGCCATTTCCCTTCGCAGACAAATCGGAAGCCCAGGATCAGATTACTTTCAAGAGTCATGACTTCTAATGCTGCCTGAAGGATTGGTAAGTTGTCTGACACTGGTAGAGCATTCAATCACGGTACTGGTTTTAGACATTTTGAGCTGCCAATACATTGCGGTGGTTGGGGAGCTGTGATGTATTCCTAGCTCAAATTGCCTGCAGATATCAAAGGTGCAGACAGGCAGGTGGAGGAGCCCGAAATGGTGCCCCCCGAGCAAGCCCCAATACCTCTCCAGTTCCATCCATGTCCCC